CTGCATTCATAGTGTTACTGGAGGATTGCTTGAATTAAAGCCTGCAAAGTGCTTAGCACTGAATTTGTTTATGGCTTATTAACTTGATTTGAGCATCAGGCTAAACAATCTTTTGGCAGGATTGTATACCAATATTCGGCATTAATTTTGATTCTTTTTCTAATCTCTTTTGTCCTTTTTCAGCATCCTCAAAGTTTAAAAAAACATAGTAGATATTCATTTACTAGGACCCTCCTGAAGGATACCTTCTTAGGTTTCTGTTATGTAAATAATGACTGTGTAACAAATGACTCCAAAACCTTGTTGGCCTACCAAAAGCATTTCTTTTTCATCCTTATATGTAGGTTTGCAGGTTAGCTAGGGTAGCTGATTGGGATCAAGTCTACCCCATATTTCTGTCATTTGCTTGAGCCAACAGCTACCCAGGACAGTTCTCATGGTAAAGAACAGAGCCTGAGAAGCAAAGCCAAACCACATGAGCACATATAAAGCCTCTGATCTTGCCCACTAACATTCCATTGGCCAAAGCAAACCTCATGACCCAGCCCGACATGAGGAAGTGGGGAAATAGACTTCAGTCTCTCCAGTAGGAGGCACTGTAGAGCAACATGGCAAAGAAAGGATACATTCCAAAGAGTTAGAGAAGATTTGGGATAATCCAATCCTATCACAGACAAGCTTCATTTTTAAAGTTGCCTTCTTTTTCATGGAAAAGGAGAAAATAACTACATAAAAAGGTCATGGCTGGCCGGGCGTGGTGGCTGATGCCTGTAATCCCAGCACTTTGGGAGGCAGAGGCAGATGGATCACCTAAGGTCAGGAGTTCCAGACCAGCCTGACCAATATGGAGAAAGCTTGTCTCCACTAAAAATACAAAAAAAAATAAAAATATAAATAGCTGGGCATCATGGTGGGCACCTATAGTTCCAGGTTGAGGCAGGAGAATCACTTGAACCCGGGAGGTAGAGGTTGCAATGAGCCAAAATCACACCACTGCACTCTAGCCTGGGTGATGGTGAGATTCTGTCTCAAAATAAAATAAAATAGTCATTTCAAGGATTTCTGAAAAAAAAATTTAAAGCCATTTCAGAAAATTACCAGGATTGATAAAATTTTGTCCCATTCCTCACCTGCTGGGCTGGCTTCATGGGTGTGACTTGCGCAGGAGCACAGGGCTCCTCACTCATCAGAGCCGCATGCTTGGCTGAATACTCTGCTAATGCTGTCTCACAGTTATTAATGTTTGAACAAGAAGCTCTGCATTTTTATTTTGCACTGGCCCCAACAAATTATGCAGCCAGTGTTGCCTACACACGCTATATTTAGGGACCCAGATGGTGAGAATTAATGCTCAGACTGGTGACCCTGAATCTGTAGATTTCTGAGTGATCCAGGATTCAATTATAATTTTTTTTCATTCGTTCAACATGTTTATTGAGTGCCGTTCTAGGTATCAGGGATAAAACATTGAATCAACCAGCCCTGTCTTCATAGAATTTACATCGTGCCACACTTCCTATATCTGCCCACCCAACAAATGATATTCATGTATCAGCTATTAATAGGACATCAGCTACAGACATGCATACCAGCGTGTGTCACAGATATTGTATGTCAGGGATCACATGCAAATCCCAGCAGCCAGCAGGAACTCCAAGCATCCCAATCTCTTTCTCTCAAGAAAGCTAATCAGAGTGCGAGTAAAAGTGACATTACGGAGCTACATCTTAAACCCATTCTGATTTGTAAAAATAAAAAATCATTCACAAACTTTGCTCCTTTGGATTTTATTCTAGCCTCTACAGTGGCAAAAAGACAGATGCATTTCAGACAGGTTTTCAACCATAAAGACTGAAATCAAAGATCAAACTGAGTCACTGGTTAACATTTCCCAGGGCCTCTGCAAATACTGTGAGAAATACCACTTTGTGACAGCTTCAGCCAAGCAGCAGGCTCATCCTTCAAGAGCTCCACTTAACACTGTGTTGCTCAGAGGAGTGGAAAGATGTCAAAATTGCTAATCTGCTTGAAAAACCCAAAGAGATGGATTTCATACTCAAACAGCAGGGATCCTGCCCTGGAAAGGAAACAGTCCTTTTTCTCATTTGATTCCTTTATAGAAATCTGTGCCCTTAATCCCCTTGCCCCCAACTCAAAGCAGGCTCTTTGCTTCCAGCAAACACAGCTGAAGTAAATATGTTAACAACACACACATTTGCCTCCCTGAGACAGATAATACCATAGTTCTGCTCCATAAAACCCTGTTGCTCTAGGCTCCTAAGGCCCTAGTTCTCAAACTTTAGCCTGCCTCCAAATCACCTGGAGTGCTTGTTAAAATACAGATGGCAGAACTCTACCTTAGAGTTTCTGACTCAGTAGGTTTAGGGTCCCCAAAATGTGCTTTTCTAGCAAATCCCAGGTAGTGGCTGCTGATAGTCTTTGAGAACTACTGCTCTAGGGCTTTGCGTTGGGTCCTGAAGCGTTGCATGAACAACTCTGTCCTCAATGCAGAGAATGTCACCAAACAAACTTTAATTCTCTTTGGCTTCTGACCACGCTATCTCATTTTCCTCAATTCTCATTCATTCCTCAACTCCCTTTTGCTGGCCTTCTGCCCTGCACTCTATTGAAAATGTTCTCAGTGAAGTTGAATGTAACAGGTTTGCTGTCAAATTTAATGGGCAGAGGACAGCATCATTTGCATATCTGATATGATTTGGGTCTGTGTCCACACCCAAATCAAAGCAAATTTTAATACCCAGTGTTGGAAGAGGGGGGCCTGATGGGAGGTGATTGGATCATGAGGGCAGATTTCTCCCTTGCTGTTCTCATGAGTGAGTTCTCACAAGATGGTTGTTCATAAAAGTGTGTAGCACTTCCCCCTTCTCTCTTCCTCCTTCTCAGACATGCCTGCTTCCCTTTCACCTTCTGCCATGATTGTAAGTTTGCTGAGGCCTCCCCAGACATAATTCCTGTACATCCTGTGGAACTGTGAGTCAATTAAACCTTTTTTCTTTATAAATTACCTAGTCTCAGCTGGGCACAGTGGCTCACGCCTGTAATCCCAGCACTTTGGGAGGCTGCGGCAGGTGGATCTCCTGAGATCAGGGGTTCAAGACCAGCCTGGCCAACATGATGAGAATCTGCCTCTAATAAAAGTACAAAAATTAGCTGGGAATGGTGGTACACACCTGTAGTCCCAGCTACTCTGGAGGCTGAGGCCTAAGAATCTCTTGAAGCCAGGAGGCAGAGGCTTCAGTGAGCCGAGATCGTGCCACTGCACTCCAGCCTGGGTGATAGAGCAAGGCTGTCTCAAAATCTATCAATGAATCAATAACCCAGTCTCAGGTAATTATTTATAGCAGTGTGAGAACAGACTAATGCAGTATCTCACCAGACAGTTTAGCTACCAGTCTACATGGAACTCACTGTTTTCTCAGGCACGCTTCATCATGTGTTTGGGACTGACCAGCATCATGTGTTCCCAGCAGTATTGCTGTTATTTGCAGCAACTGCCACTCCCCACTAAGTGTAGTTCAGATGGGATTTCAGTCATAGCACCCTATAGCACTGGCCACAGGGATGGGCCTGTATCCAAGTACTGATCATCATATTCCCCTATCTCTTGGGTCACCATGAGTGGCCCAGGGACAGTCAATGACCTACACCAAACCGATCAGAGCCCTTCTCTATAATTTTATATGGATTTCATTATATCTAAGACTCCATTACAGTAAGAAACACTATTATTTTATACATCACTAAGAAATAATACTGCCAACTGGGAAAACAAAAAAGGAAGATGCCATCGATTGTAAGATGCTTCCCATTTCAGAAATGTTAAAATTGGGTGGATGGGGCTAAACTTTGTACAGTGAAATTCAGACTAAGATGCTGGGGGGAAAACGCTCTCTCTCCTGGAGTTCCTGTGCTGGGAAGACGCAAATGTGACCTTGCAGCACCACCACCTTATCTCCATTGCCTGGAAGAAGCAAGTCTGCAATAGGAAAGAATGAGCCCAACACACCAAGAGAAGCGAAAATTTTAAAGAGACAGAAATAAAGAAGGTAGAGTAGTCTGTTTCTTTGCATCAGTCCTTTATCCTTAAATTATTGGAATTCATTTTCTGTCACTTGCAACCATGGAAGTCCTGATAAATATAATCCCTTCCCCCATAAGCATCCCCAATATTCCCCAAAGTAAATGACTTCTTTACCCAGCAAATTATCCAATTCATACTTAACTCCTTCCTCTCCCTCAACCCTTCTACACTGAACCAATGAGGAAATGTGGGTTTTTTTCAACTTCCTAAATATTTTTCTAATTCCCCTATTTCTCTCCATCTGCACTCAATCTCTTACCCCACCCACCATCCCCCTTCACAGGCCCCTGGGACGGCCTCCTGACTGAGTCTCCTGGTTCTAGTCTTCTCCTGTCTAACTCCGGCCCCACACTGCAGTCAGAGTGATCTTTCCAAACCCAAATTAAGAATACCCCTGCCCAAAACCCTTTGAGGTCTTCTCACTGTCCTTTCACAATATGGCCCAGCCTACCTCCCCAGCTTTCTCTGCTTTTTTGAATGTTTTTCTGCTTTAGACTTTTTTTTTTTTTTTTTGAGATAGGGTCTCACTCTGTCACCCAGGATGGAGTGCAGTGGTGCAATCACAGCTCAGTGCACTCCCCACCGCCCGGTCCTAAACAATCCTCCCACTTCAGCCTCCTGAGTGGCTGGAACAACAGGTGTGCCACCACCCAGCTAATTCGTTGTATTTTTCCTAGAGACAGGGTTTCGCCATATTGCCCAGGCTTTCTTCACTTTTAACTTACTTTTTCCTGACTGGAACATTCCTCCTGATTCAAGCATGATTTATTCATGTTTGATCCCAGCTTAAATGTCACATCGTCTTTCAAGTGGTGGCATGTGGAACACCAGGTAGACTCCTCTAGTTTCACTGAACGCTTTCACGGTTTCTATGGCGTCTTCCTCATTATACTTACAGAAATCAGCTGTTTACTATAGCTTTTTATGCCTGAAGACATGATAAACTCTTGTTTACACCATAATCTTTAGAATAATAAGCCGTATCACTGAGATGTTAGTAAGGGACAAATAGTCCTGCTCTGAAGGTACTTCGTGGTCTCACTATGCTAAAATAGTAATTCTCTTCAGACTGACAGCCAGTGCCCAGGCAGGATGTGCCTCTGCCTTGTGGAAGATGTGGCAGAGAGTGGGTTCTTAGTAACTGCACCAGTTTCCAAGGGCTGCCATAACAAAGTACCACAGACTGAATGTTTTCAACAACAGAAATATACTTTGTCATAGTCCTGGAGGCTAGAAGTCTGAGATCATGTTGTTGGCAGCAATGATTTCTTCTGAATTCTCTCTCCTTGGTTTGGAGATGGCTGCCTTCTCCTGTGTCCTTATCTCCCCTTCTTATAAGGACACCAGTCACGTTGCATCAGGGCCCACTCCAGTGACCTCATTTAACCAGTTTAAAGACCCTGATATGGTTCAGCTGTGTCCCCACCCGACTCTCATCTTGAATTGGAGCTCCCATAATTCCTACCTGTTGTGGGAGGGACATGGTGGGAAGTAATTGAATCGTGGGGGCAGTTCCCCCATACTGTTCTCGTGGTAGTGAGTCTCACGAGATCTGATGGTTTTATAAGGGGAAACCCCTTTCACTTGGTTCTCATTCTCTCTTGTCTGCTGCCGTGTGAAGTGTGCCTTTCACCTTCCTCTGTGATTGTGAGGCCTCCCCAAACACATGGAACTGTGAGTCCAGTAAAACTCTTTTTCTTTATAAATTACGCAGTCTTGGGTATATCTTTATCAGCAGCATAGAAATGGACTAATACAGACCCCACCTCCAAATACAGTCACATTCTGAGGCACTGAGTGTTGAGTTAGGACTTCAAGGTATGACGTTGAGAGCAGTGGGAGAACACAATTTAGCCCATTACAGTAATGAATGAATGAACTTATGAAGAGTCCACATGCCACCACTTGAAAGACTCAGCTCTCAAGAGTCACCATCACCTCTGGGAGAAGATGGGGCCAGATGGTCATAAACCCTTATCCACTGTATTGGGTTAACTTGTGGCATAAAAAGATATGTTCATACCCTAACCCCTTTCACCTGAGAATATGACCTAATGACTTGGTTAGAGTGGGCCCTACATCCAATGGGAAATATCACTATAAAAGAAAAGACATGGCCAAGGTGGGCAAATCATGAGTTCATGAGTTCGAGACCAGCCTGACCAACATGGTGAAACCCTGTCTCTACTAAAAATATAAAAAAATTAGCTGAGCATGGTGGCACATGCCTGTAATCCCAAGTACTAGGGAGGCTGAGGCAGGAGAATTGCTGGAACCCAGGAGCGGAGGTTGCAATGAGCCAAGATCATGCTGCTGCACTCCAGCCTGGGCAACAGAGCAAGACTTCATCTCAAGAAAGAAAAGACATGACCAGGCATAGTAGCTCACACCTATAATCCCAGCACTTTGCAAGGCCGAGGCAGGAAGATTGCTTGAGCCCAGGAGTTCAAGACCAGCCTGGATAACATAGTGAGACCCCCATCGCTACTAAAAATTGAAAACTCAGCTGGGCATTGTGGTACATGCCTGTGGTCCTAGCTACTCGGGGTCTGAGGCAGGAGGATCATCTGAGGCTGCAAGGTCAAGGCTGCAATAAGCCATGATAGTGCCATTGCACTTCAGCCTGGGCAACAGAGCAAGATGTTGACTCAAAAAAGAAGAAGAAGAGACGTGAAGAGAAGGGAGAAGACACATGGAGAAGGGGCCATGCAGATGGAGGTAGAGATCAGAGGGATGCGCCTACGAGCCAAGGAATGCCAAGGATGGCAGCAGCCTCCAGAAGACAGGAGCCAGGCGTGGAACACACTCTCCCTTCATACTGCAGCGGGAGCCAGTCCTGCCGACACCCCGTGTTTGAACTTTTGGTCTCAGAACTATCAGAGAATAAATTTCTGGGATTTTGAGCCACACAGTCTCAGAACTGTCAGAGAATAAATTTCTGGGATTTTGAGCCGCCCAGTCTGTGGTAATTTGTTACAGCAGTCAAAACTAGCACATCTACTTCCGTTAAAGGGAAGGGAGATCCTGTTCGGGAGATCTGACTTTGGATAGAGAAAGTGAGACACTTCCAAGCTTTATCAGGACAGGTCTGGTTGCTTGAACAATAGTCCAGTTACCAGCCTAGCCAATCTGAAGATAGTTACCATTTTGGCATAGATCAGGGGTCCCTAACCCCCGGGCTGCGGAACAGTACCAATCCATGTCCTGTAGGAACCAGACCACAGCAGGAAGTGAGCAGCAGATGAGTGATCATTACCACCTGAGCGTGGCTTCCTATCATCTCGGTGGCAGCACTAGATTCTCAGAGGAGCGCAAACTGCACATGTGAGGGATCTAGGTTGCCCGCTCCTTATGAGAATCTAACTAATTAGATTATGTGTGATGATCTGAGGTGAAGCAGTTTCATCCCAAAACCATCCCCCACCCCAGTCTGCAGAAAAATTATCTTCCATGAAACAGGTCCCTGGTGCCAAAAAAGGTTGGGGACCACTGGCACAGATACTTAGTCCACTAAATATCCCCAGAGTAGAACTCTCTCTCATACCAGGCCTGTTTAGTTCCTTGAGGTTGCAGGCATTCTCTCTCTGGAGGATAAAGGACAGGATTTCTTTGTATAATAACAATTTCTTAAATGTTTACTTTAACTGAAGGGTTTCTTTCCCAGAAAGCTTAAAAATAATTTGCTTAGTAATTTCAGTAAACACATACCAATAGCAAATTTCCTTGCTGGCTTTTGTGATGCCAATGACATCACAGAACCTGCGTCACTGTGGGAAATCGTTCTTCTAGGTAACTGTGATGACATCACTTGCTATGAAGAAAAGGAAGAAAAAAGAAAAAAACAGGAAATTCTGCATTCAGCTGTTAACTGATAAAGGAAGGAGGAACTGGTTTTGAAAGAAAGTTCCCATAACTAAGCAGCCTTCTCCATTACTTAGCTTTGTTTACTTAATGTATTTATTTGCACAATCTCACTGGTAGTACAAGCTCCTAGTCAAAAAGGCTCTTTACTCTCAGCAAATTAGGGAACATAGGCTAGTACCCCTCACTTTGAGGGACCCCTGTTCACACAGAGGATCTAAAAACGATCTGGGCAAAGAACAAAAGGAAAAAGAAGAGAGGGAAAGGAGGAGGAGGAGGAGAAAGGAAGAAAGGGAAGGGGCAAGGGAATAAGATAAAATGAAATACAGATGACCAATAAACATTTGACCTAGGTAACCTCACTGATTGTATTAGAGAAGGTTCTCCAGAGAAACAGAACCCATAGGATGTGTGTGTGTGTGTGTCTATGTGTACTTATATATAAAGAGACATTTAGATTAGTTTAGCTGGTGGTCACCCAGGGGAGCATAAAGGCGAGATCTCAGAAAAATCTGGAAAAGGAACAAAATTGTGGAAGTAGATCAACCTGGCAAGCTGTTCACAGGTGACCTTAATACAGAACCCAATGAAAAGGCTCTTGAAGCAGTATTTGGGAAATATGGCCTCATAGTAGAGGTTCTTTTGATGAAGGATGGGGAAACCGTGTCCAGAGGCTTTGCACTAATTACTTTTGAGAGCCCTGCAGCTGCTAAGAATGCTGCCAAAGATATGACTGGAAAGTCTTTGGATGGAAAAGCAAGCAGAGCAAGCCAATGAACCATCTTTTGAAAGTGGTAGTAGGTGGAGACCACTACCTCCGGCCGGGTGCGGTGGCTCAAGCCTGTAATCCCAGCACTTTGGGAGGCCGAGGCGGGTGGATCACGAGGTCAAGAGATCGAGACCATCCTGGTCAACATGGTGAAACCCCGTTTCTACTAAAAATACAAAAAAATTAGCTGGGCATGGTGGCGCGTGCCTGTAATCC